ACGAAAGGAGACTGCGACCACACAAAAGGCCACACCATCTTGGTCTTTATACCTTTTCTTACCTTCTCTGACCCACCAGCATCTATAGCTGTGGTAACGTGTCGCCATGTGAGTCAGAGTCGAGGCCACGATCCACCCTGGGTAAGACAGCCTCTTAGGAAAAAAGGCCAAAAAGGCGTCCAATGCCATAGTAATATTTACCCATATAACTTCGAGTAAAAATAAACAATCAGTCTCTGAATCTCCTTGAGCAAATTATCAAATTAAAAAGTCATAGTTGTAGTTATTTGAAAGTCAGATTAAGTACGCGTGCGTCTTGGTGGAATCAGACTTATGCAAATACCCTTGAGTAAATCTGTCAAGCATGCATTATAAGTAAGTGGGTTGAACTCGTTGTCGCAACTTAGGCTTGTTGTCCGGGTGGCTTAGGAGAACGCACCTAGTCCGAAGTCGTCTGCCATATTAGTTGTCATGATTCCCAGCATCAGAAAGTAGACTAGGTACATTCTCAAACGTTTCGTCGACAAAATCAGTCAGTTCTGCCATTTTCTGCACCAAGCTACGAACTCATCAAATATACAAGTTAAGTCAATCCTTCCACAAACGTTCTGCCGAAAACAATTACACTATCACTCCTTTTTCTGTCCTGGCCTATCTACCTACTCTTAAACCTTTTATCAAACTCCCGCCTTATCACAACTTTTCACTTGTTTACATTCCACTTGTCAAAATGGGTGCCCTTTTGTGGCAAATCTAGTGTGGCCTCATCACACCTGCTGATCACCCCGACCACCTTTCTTTCGATCGACTACTCCGACTCGGGCCTCCTATCCGGATCTCCCTCATGATTCCGTAGATCCGTTCCTTATCTTTCTAGTTGACTAATTTGACACGGTTTCAGTATCAGTGTGCGTTTCACTCCAGGCCCTAGAAGCACGTACAATGCCGTCTCACCGAGCAGAGTGCCTAGGCTCTGATTCCCATGCTCGCAGATATCAGGCATTCCCTTCACGAGTCGTCTCTTTGATTAAGCCCCAAGTTACCTGAGCAAACGGTGAACGCCTATTTCTGGTCGCATGCAGCATCTCAAGTGGATTTCTAGTACATTTTGGCCATACCGTCGAATTTCTGTGACGGTTTGCTTATCCGTTACAGCAAACCGGATGGCATGGCGTCTGCGGCCATGCCAGACGCCTCAACATCTTGGTCTTCATATTTTCCGTGTATCTTAATTTCTCAAAATCCAAATAGGATAGAATATTGATGCTTAAACTGCAGGATAATGCACCAATTCCTTTAATATTAAATAGTATAGGCTGTATATTTTCATCCCTGCCTATTAATCAACTTAGGTCATGTCAGAGACTAACCAGGGTATCAAAGTACCCAAGTATGCAGGTAGCGAGGTTTGGAGGAGAGTATAGGTTTGTTGCTTATGGTCTCTACTTAGAAGCTTCTTTACACTGGCCACCATCCTCACTTTCGGTCACATCTTCCACCTGAGGCAAACCCAGGACGGATCAACGACTATCAGTCTTGGCTATAAATCTGTCGACTATGACCCCACAGATATTCGGATAATCTTGCATTCTTTTCGGAACATTTTGATGTTGATTTCAAGCCCCCTTTGGTAGACGGTGAATATCGGTATCACATTCTGTAAGTTTTATTATAATCGTTCCCACTTAGGCAAGAAGCACAGTGCCCACAGGTCCAAGCAAAAGGCTTCTTATTTGTGATTCACCAGATGTTAAAGGGCTCAGAATTTATAAGACATTGCAGTGAAACTAAGGCTCCTCGGGGCTACTTGTTCAAAGGACTCTCTGGTGGAGTGCTCATAGAGCTTAACAGCGCCGAAATTCCTATAGCCTAAGTTGTGTTCACCCTATTTCGTCTAAGATAGTTGAACTTTCCCACAATGACATGAGTAGACATGACGTTTACATTGAATTTCGCATAGCCTTGTCTTCTCAAAAGGTGTTCTCATCCAGGGTGTATTGCACTTTCGACCTCGTCCAGATTTCATCGATACCCCCAGCGGGAGTCGAACCATGGCAGTTCAGCGTGTAATCTCGACATGTTAACTACTAAGCCACATTGCTACGAGTGCCCTTGGGTCAAAGGGCAGATGTGAATCTTCAGGAAGCTCAGGCAGTTTTCCACATCAAATTCTGTCGTGGGCTTGTTGATGAAGCAAACTTATGTTTGCCATAGCAATCAGCGGCATTACTTTTTTCGTAATAGTCTTAAAAACCCACTCAAAAAAGGAAAAAGTATCCTTGGGTATATCCCTATCATCGATATTCAACTGCAATTTTCTTATATATTTTGCATAACACTTAAGTACTTTGGAGTCAGATATTTGTGAGTACAGATTCTATAGACAGAAGTGTTGGCTGAATAGATTAGCAAGATTATCGCAGGCTCCGAAGTAACATGTTATAAAAGCCAGGCGTAGCTCCATGACATAACCCGTCCAAGGGAGGATAACTAGGCAATTACAAGGCCATTTCAAGTCCTCATTCTTAATCCTAGGGCGTATTCTAGGCTATTCATGTCAGAAAGAGACCGTAAATGAGCAAGCTCAGTTGCGATAATCTGAATTAATTCATGCTAAGGCCAGTGACTCAGTCCGTCGCCACAATTTCACTTTAGTCTTGGAAAATGTACTTATCCTGCTGACTGGCACTAAAATTTACATCAGGCCTTTACGACCAGCATCAATCTACACTCATTAAAGAACAAACAAAATCCACCTGCAGATACCAAACCTTCCATGATTCGAACACTTTTCGTCCAATAAACAAAAAAACAAAAACACCGCAACTTTTCAGTTCACCAGGAAAGCGTGCAAAAAGGGGATGGAGGTGGCGTTTTACATGAATCCATTTATTGATTTGGAAACGTTAGTTATAGTCTAACTTTGGTCCCTATTTTGCATCGTTAAAAAATATGTTCTAATTCAGCTACATCAGCTTGTGTCTATAGCTCCGGCTTTCCGCCATAGGCTTATCATCCAGCCCCCTCATTTTCATAATCGAGTGTAGCGAATCAGGCCCAGGTGGCTAAGGCCTATGAGCCATGCGTTCTGGTGCGCTATGGTCGTGTTCTGCTAACGTTAAAGTGCAGATAATATATTAACTCATAGGAAATAAAAGCTCGTTAAGGTCTGTTTGACGCCTGGATATCCATAAAATACACGAAAAAATTAGGCTTTTCGAAATCATTTATGGTCACTCTGTTAACACAACCAAGATGCAGACAAATTTACATCGAATATGTAGCTAAGTTATGCTTCGAAAAAGAGAGGTGCTGTGGATCTAAGCGCAAAAATTTTTTGAGATGGAATCATTGTAAATTCAGAAAAATCCATGCTTGAACTTCTGACTCATTTAGATTGATGCCTTAGAAACATATGATAAGCGAAATAAGATGATGCTCAATAAAGTATGAGGTATTTTTTAAGCTAAATAAATAGAAATAGAAAGCTCATGTGAAAGAAATTTGGCTAAAGTTGATAATCAATGTTTTTCAGATAAACTGATATCGGCTTGTGAAATAAATATGGAAGCTCTCGCAAAAATATCAAGAAAATGATGTAAAAGAATGATGAGGTTCACAAGTTCACCAGAAGCAACTAAGGCATAGTGGAGTAGTGATGAACATGTAAGCAATTAGAAATAATCGGATCCTACTCAACATTGGACATGCATCTATTTGGCAGCAGATGAGTGCAGATATCCCAGGACGAGCTTGCTCCAGTAAAAGATTTCATTAGCCTATATACAAATAAAAACCGATGCACACACACAATTGAAACATTCAAAATATTAATAAGATGATCACAGACATCTTCGTTATCAAGCGAACATAACTAAAAGGTTCTGGCATCCATAATTCTTTCCCAACTTCTTATTCTCATTTTCGTCCCATGCCCTTGAAATTCGTAGTCATATTCCCGCAAAGCTGTTGAAATCGCCCGCCGCTAAACTGTTGAGTCGAGAGCGTTCAGCGTCGATCCAGGCTTCGCGAAGATGAACAGGAAGACCAAGATCACGAAGTGCTGCTTTCGCTTCGTCCGAGCAATCTTCTCTGTCAAGCAGGAGGCGCAATTCGGCTTCTAGATGGAAAGGGTCGGAAGAATCATCCCCAAGGAAGGCCGTTGAAAGATCAGGAGACCGAGCAACGCAGTTGCGGATAGCCAGACAGATAGCGCGCACGACTGGGGCATTATTCGAATGCAAATTCAAGGCCTGAGGAAGATGGAGAGCAGCAAATTGGTTAAAACGCATGCCATACTAATTACTGAACTGTCTTCATTTCCTAAAATTTAGGTTTAAAACTCTGAATATATATTTTATAGCAAGAAATGAGGATAGCTGAGCATACTTTCATTCCGAGTGAGTGTGATGGAAGGATTCGAAAATTGGTCGCACTAGAAGACGGCGATGGTCAGCCGTCTATTGCCTTTATTGGAACATTCTTGTTGTCGATGTTTCCGAAGCAATCTTTTTCCATTCAGGCGAAAAAGTGCTAAACTTTCGTCCGCCACATAATGGACCTCATCAGAGCAAGGAATTATTCTGACGACCATATTTAAGCCAATTAATCAAGAATTGTCTTGACTCGGACGAAAATTTAGCACGTTTTCAGCGAAATCGAAGGAGATTGCCTCGGAGACGGCGTCAACGAGAGGGTTTAGTAAGGTCAATCGACAACTGGCATAGAGAAATCCATCATTGTCTTCTGTTGGGACCGACCTTCGAATCTCTTCACTACATATTTTCATTCGAAACGGATGTGAGCTCAACAATTATAAACAAATAGATTCCTCTAAACACTGCTTTTTTCACAAGAAGTGATGAGTTACGAAACAGGTCGTGTCTATTAAGACGAAATTTGTTATGTATAATGGCAATTGAGGAAGAAATAGTTAAATAGCCCGAAGAGAATTAAGTTCACTCTCTCAGGCATCGCAGCCCTTGCAAAAGAGGCAGAAATTTCAACATTACTCTAAGTGAGATTCGAATTCTGAACACGACTGACATCAGGACGAGGTCTTAAGTGCAGTACAGCCTTTGGGGCTATATGATTTGCAGAACATGGCAAACGACGTTGTGTAAAAGATGTGAAGATAAGGGGGGTTTCAATCTCTAAATAGGTTAATGTTGGAGTCATTTAGAATGTATTATACTGTTATTATCATAAAGGACTAGGCTGAAAAAAAGAAAATAAAGCAAGTTCCCCGCTGTCTGCAGTAGTGAAATTGTATGAGACAGTAGAAATATAAGGCTAATCTTGATATTGAAAGTGTATTATGCAATTACCAAGCATGTGAATACTAAACCTTTTTATCTCTAAATTCCGTAAGCAGTTTAAAAAAGTGGATTTTTGATATATTTAAACATAAAGTTAGCCCTATTGTTGGACGGCAAAAATAACTTTCAGGACAAAACATTCGTATAATTTTATGTTTTTTCTGAAATCAATTACAAAGTCAAATTCATTGCAAAATTCAAGTTTTTCCTACAATACAGAGTTGAGAAATTCACTATCAGTTTAAAGATTAGCCACTAGAAACTTGATGTCTTATAATACAATCAACCTCAGGATAATATCAAAACAAAGAATGTTGTTAGCTATTTAAATATGTCTTCGATTCCTGATAAGGTGAGAATTCTTCTTATTCCATTTGTTTTACGAGATTAAAGGTTTAAGACACGAAATAGATTGGTTAATGATTAAAAGATACTGGGTTAAGCAATATGAAAAGTCCAGAGAAAGCAAAGGAAGTTAAACTGAGATAATACGCCTCATTGCAGTCCACAAATTACTTTAGGTAAGAGTTTCACTTGCTAACAACCAACTCACGACTAATGAGGTAACCACTCTCTTCTTGGGGGCTGGTGAAGATAGCAAATAGAACACTGGAGCTGGTTTAGATATAACACGGCTAATAGTAGTTGTAGAAACATCTCAATTTTGTGCAGCCATCAAATGGTTGTCATTCATTTGACGTCACGGAAACGTACGGAATATCTCTCGGGAAAGCTTTATAAAAACTTGGAAAGATTTACCAACTCACTCCTCTACTTAGCATGTCGCAGTTCCAGAAATGGTTGGTTTTGTTTAGAAATCTGTGGTGCATCTCAAGAGCCAGAAGGCAATCGGAAGACCATTAGTTAGTAAAATCACATAAGGTGGCTAAGTGAAGAATCTACACATTCCCTTTGGAGTAGCCAGAGACGGTAATTAGTTCACCACGAAGATGTATAAACATCCTTAATACTCCCAATTTATAATATCTCAAGGTGGTTATTCTACATTCGTACCTGATGAATCTTAATTTGACAAAAAGTAGGTTGGAAATAACAGTTTGTTAATTATGAGTACCCAATCGGTTTTATATGTATGACTTAATCTAAGGGCCTAGAATCAACGAAGCGGCTCAGTACAACTATAGCTCCATTATCGATATATAAACCGAATAAAACGCCAATAACCAACCCATAATTTATTCCTATTAAAAAAACGTAGAAGAACCCTCCAATTTTAAGTTTGATTGCGATTTGGTGAATAGCGATTCATAAATACGGTGTATTAGATGTTAAATCGAAGCCCGTAGGATAAGCTTAAGATAATTTATAATAGGAAATAAAGAATAAATCTCAAAATTTTCAGGAGCTATTAAAAAGAAGCAATGGCCATCAAGATTATGGCTTAAGGTAAGCTACTAAAGTATGTGCTAAATCCGGTCACAATCACGAGGGATAGACAAAAAATAAGAAAAGAAATATAAAAAGAAATAAAAGGAAAACAATTAAGTAAACTTA